GTTACTTTATTTCGTGTTTCTATCTAAAGTGCAAGTGAAATCAGCACATGCGCCACATGAAAGCCAAAGTGATGTCACTAAAGCACTCTTTGTGTCTTTGTCTGGCTCCTGGAGTATTGATCTCATCCTCAGTAAACCCCATGAAATCCTTATATCATGCATTAAGCTCCTTCTTCCTCCAAAGCAACCACTACAACATCTTATTTTGAATTCTCCGAATGCATCACACATGAGGGCATAGAGAGTCGGCTCCTTGAAATTGCTGGTGCTTCCTCTGACCTTTCATAACACGTGTTTGCTTTCAACAGAGCAGAGTTCAGAGGACGTGATCTTAATATTTCTCTTATCTTGATTTTCTAGCTTCTAGACTCGTTTTGTTGTTTATTATCTCTTCTTGATACTCTTACTTCTTATTGCTTCCATTTTAATCACTCTTTTATCTTCTTACATACTCAGTCCTCTTGGTCTCAACCTAAGTTGCCGGGTTCCTGTGTTGCCTGAGTTATTGTTGTTTGAGTTCTGATGTTTGGGTTCTGATGTTGGTCAGGTTTTTGTTTAAGTTATTATTATTATTTTCTGTCGAGGTTTTGTTGTTAGTGGCTGGGTGTCTCTGCCTTGGGTTGCATTGTTGTCATGATTTTCTGTTGTGATTTGGGTTCCCATGTGTTGTTGTTGTTGTTGTTGTTGTTGTGTTTTCTTCTGCATTGTCAAAGGACTTTTTAAAACCTTGTTTTTAAAAAGCGCTGTACACATAAAGTTATTATTATTTTGATCGTCATATCTATAATCAGGGTCAGATGGGTATTTAATAAATAAACCATTTTATTTATTGCCTCCTAATGAATGCATACAGAAATTTGAATGAATGGCATTTCAGATAACACATTATTTATGTGATATAATGCATTTATTCTTAAATCATGGCCCGTGTGCTTCTCTATATTTTGGATTTTGCCCTTTTCTGGTCCATTTTTGCATTGTGTACCATCCTTTCATTTTTAAGAAGCGGACTTTTTACTATCTAATTTTAAAGAAAACATAAAGCTTTAACCGATTTTGAATTCAGGTATTATGGTAGTCTTATTCTCTGCAACGTTTCCTTCCTTTCTTAAAAGAAAAAGCACAGAAACAACTTGCCGTAGCAGGACTGCTCACATCCATCCTCCTGTTTACACCCGTTTGAACAGGCTGTTCATAATGTAACAACATATTATGTATCAGGTTTCAACATATGTGCTCTAACTCCTAATTAAGTTAGACAAGCAACAACCCTATATAGCACACAAACAAGTAACTACCTTTGAAAAAGCAGAACACCTCCTGTGCTAGTCACACAGATACAATAAGGATTATTCCTGATAGATACCTGTGGAGGACTCTGTGATGTCTCCGGCTCTTACCTCAGGGTCCGGAATCTGGGAGAACACGGATGACATGCACTGAGTCAGCAGCACTGCTCCCAAGCCCCGCAGCAGGAATAGAGGTGGGCACACAGGCTGATCCCCAGCCATCCTTTGCCCCTCTTTCTTCCTGCGGCCACCCTGCACCCTCGCTCTCTTCTTCCTCCTCTGTCTGTCTGCCTGCCTGCACTGGCGCCGTTTACAGGACAGGACCACAATGGCCCTGGGTGATTAATGGCTACAATGGTGCTGACGGCTTCCTCCCATCCACAGTTGTCTGCTGAAATTCTCCTCTATCTCTATTTCTCTTTCCTTTCTGCAGGAACCAAAATACACACCGGTGGCTCACACTGCAGGCAGGACAAAACTAGCTTCACTACAATGGAGGGAGCCAGCCCTGCAGTTGGGGTACATTAATTAATTAATAGACCTGGTGTGGTTTACAGCCAGCTCATCCTGCTGGGGACAGGCAGTTAACACAGTGTGGGGGGATGGGCTGTACAGTTAACCATGAGCGTGGCCTGCGCAGGACAGTGAAGCAAATGGCTGTGAGCGCCATCTTATTTATTGCCTCACAATCAGAAGCGTAAAAATCGGCTCAGCCTCGCCTGTTCGGTGTGCTGAGATGAGAGCTGAGGACACTGCACCAGTGTGAATTCTAGTTTGTTTTAGGTCGCTTTTGTTGTTGTTGTGATTTGATCATGAATCTCCCTCATTGAGAAAAGTATCATTTTAAGCACAACAACAGACCACGATGGCACGAATTGAGCATGAAATCATCCTAACGTGAAAGGATGTGTTGAAAGAAAAAGTATGCTGTTCTCTGTACTGTGATTAATACATTTGTTTATTAATGCTAAAGGTTTCAAAGTATTGCAGATATACGCAAGACAACAAATCAGTTTAACCAATGGCAGTGTTAAATACTTGATTCTGATTGGTCAATTTCAGCATTCCAAGGTCTGCTATTACTCTATAGCTGCACTGCTGTAAAAAAAAGGGGGCACCTTGAAGCATTCATCTATAAATACCTGCTCATATACAGCAAGCCTAAACATTAACACATTATAATCTAAGACAGTCTACACATATAGGGGTGG